CTCAGCTGTCTGCTTGTTTCGTCTCCGTTTGACTGCACTACATCCGTCCCTTTCTATTATAGCTTCTAACACTTTTATTTGAGTTTAGACCTACCCAGAGAAAACCCATCTACCTCCTTCATGCATTGATTAACAGTAATTTAAAAGAACAATTACACAGTTGGACACAAGACAAGAAGTTTACAACAAGTTTCAACACATATTGATGTAATGAGTTCTAAACATGCATAGTCAATTAATTCCGTTTAATGGTTTCCTGGAACTACTTGGGCATGCAAAGAACACGAGTAAAAGGGAAAGATATGAGGTTAGAACTTGCCTTTAGCCTTTCCTCGTTGTCCTCCTAACTTCTCTGCTTGACAGACCTTTCAATATTCTGCTCTCAACCCTCTGTTTATTTGTTTACAGAACTTAGGTTACGTCTGTGAACTAAGTGTTTTGATCGTAACCCTAGACTTATTATCATGGTGTATTTATAAGCTTTAATCCCTAAAACCCTAATCATTTTAAGATTAGAGACAGAGCCCAACTCAGTCCATAAACCATCTTGTGTTATAAATAACGTCGGCTACCAATGTAAAGTTTAAACCTAGTGTAAAACTATATGTGAGCAACAGCAATTACAGTCACCTTTAAGTTTAAGACAGAAAAATAATTAAATTTCATTAAATACATTCAATTAAATAATTAACTAAATTCAATTAAATAAAATCAATTAAATAATTAACTACATTGAACACCCAATGAACCACTTAAACAAACAATTAAATAAATAAACAAAATAAAACACTTAACAAATAGTTAAATAAAACAATTTAAGCAAATAATCACATAAAATGCAACTAAATAATAAATTAAATTTCAGAAATATCCTTTTTAAATAAAACAATTTAAGCAAATAATCACATAAAATGCAACTAAATAATAAATTAAATTTCAGAAATATCCTTTTAAAATTAAGGGTATTACAATGGCCTAAGTTGATGAAGGTTAGTTATTCAAATAAATGTATGTTGATTTTACAAATGTAGACTTAACTTAATATTAATAGTACTTTAATAATTTGTAGGTGAATAAAAATGTAAGTAAGTTTCGAAATAAGGGAAACAAGCATTTTGACAAGCTCAGCACCATATTTGGACGCACATATGCTACAGGTGCACATGTCCATACTTTGACTAATCCACCCATTATCAACCAAGCCCTCTCACACCATGCATCCATACATAGCTCATTTGAAATTGATGATTTAGTTGAGTTAGACGGTCACGAGATCAGTCCCTCTCCTGAACCTCGTGGTAAAAAAATCAAAGAAAGAGAGTTTTGTCTCCATAATGAGCGACGTCATGGATAAAATGAAAGACAATGCTAACATAAAAGCTGATCGAATTGAAAAGGCCATAAAAGAAGCTTCATCATCTAACATGAAAACATTCCATGGCGAATGTCAGGTTGAAGTAAATTCTCCGGACAAGACAAAAGGTGATTTTAAGTTATGTTGTAGTATTTTGAATCAGTTGGAGGGCGTTAATATGAAATAATATGCTAAGGTCACCCATATGTTACGTAGTAATGAAATTTGGAGGGATTTCTTTCTGAATGACCTTCCTGATGATAAGAGGGCTGGTTGGATCATAAATCTTTGATTCGGTATATTGCTTTTATTATGACTTTGGATGACTGTATTATTAACTATACTTTATGCGGTGTGTTACTTTTATTTCTTATTTGGTTTTGTTATGACTTTGGATGACTGTATTATAAACTAGTATTTAGCTTGGGATGGTTGTAATGACAATATCAGTATTTGGCTTGGATGATTTTATTTGGTGTGTTGCTTTTATTTCTTATTTAGTATTTGGCTTGGGATGATTGTAATTTATGTCGTTTCTTACATTTTGTATTATACAGATGGATATTAGGACAATCATTGAGTTGTATGATGACGATGACGACGAGAATGAATTTGTCATAATAATGGCATGTATGTTAGATTGCTGTATGAAACATTACCATAAAAAGCATTGTAAGGATTCAATTTCAAGAGGGGAAGCACATATATTGGAGATTTTGAACGGGCATGGAAGTAAATGTTTTGAAAACTTTAGGATGTCTACCCCTGTTTTTTTAAAGTTTTGTGGGGAGTTTAGGTCATTAGGGTTGAAAGACTCTAAAAATGTAAGTGTTTTTGAACAAGTTGGCATATTCTTGCTTACTTTTAGCTCAAAATGAAAGGAATCGTGTGGTAGAAGAAAGATTTCAACATTTTACCTATACAATTTCAAAACAGTTCCATTCGGTTTTTTAAAAAGTGTGTAATTTAGGGAAAAAAATTATTGTCCCTCCCCAGATTTAACCCAAATTCCTAACCATATAAGAAAGTCAAAAAAGTTCCACCTTTTTTTTAGAAATTGAGTAGAGGCAATTGATGGACCTCATATCCATGCAAACGTGTCTGTGGACCAGCAAATATCATTTTGTGGTAGGAAGGGGGATACCACACGAAATGTAATGGTTGTTTGTTCATTTGATATGATGTTCATGTACGTTGTAGCAGTATGAGAGGGGTCTACTAATGATTCTAAGATATTGAACGAGAACATTAATAATGAGGATATACAATTCCCACAGCCTTCAGACGGTAAATGTTATACTACCAATTTTTTTTTAATTTATTTTAAATATAATGGTACAATTGTTTATAGTTTGTAAAATGGCAGGAAAATATTATTTGGTGGACTCCGGGTATGCCAATTAACCAGGTTTCTTGGCTCCGTACAGGGGTCAACGGTACCACTTCTAAGAGTACCGTAGGGCTTCTAGGCAACCCCGAGGGAGAGAGGAAATATATAATCACATGCACTCGTCTTTGCGAAAGATCATTGAACGTTGTTTTGGGATGCTGAAGATGAGATTCCCCATCTTGAAGAAAATGCCCCCATATAAGTTTGGAACTTAGGTTGATATTATTTTAGCCTGTTGCACACTTAATAACTTTATAAGAATGTCAGCACAAGTAGATGCAATATTTGATGATGAAACTGTGGAGGCGCTGATGGATGAAATATTTGAAGATGAGAATGATGATATTCAGGTTAATGTGCCGCAGTCTCGGTCACGACCAGTGGATATTTTACGTGCTCATGTTGTTAATACTATATAGAATACAATTCAGCACCATTGAAATCACATTTAGATGTTTATCATATTTGGATAATTGTAAAAACTACTTCATTTTAACTTTTTTTTAGGATTTGGATAACTATAATAAGTACTTTATTTTAACTCTCTTTTACAATTTGGATAAATGTAATAACTCGTGCGAAGTATACATTACACATTTTACCACTTATATATGCAGTCATGTATGAGATACAGGGTGACGGGCAACCTTGTGCATGTGCAAGGGGTCGAATCAATCTTTATACGGCTGGAACTTCAAAGAATTATGGACGTTCATTCTATAAATGTTTGGCTTGGGGGTATATAATCCTTTGCATTAATAATTTTTTATACTTACATGTTACTGTCATAGGGGTATTATAATAATATACAAGTCTTTGATGTTTTAGTCACATGCGCGTTCATTTATATTGTTAGATGACATGCATCAACGTCTGTAAGTGGATGGTCATGTGGATCAAAAGTTGGAGGATGTAGTTGCTGTTATGCAAACTCAACAAAATAGACAAAACTACATTATCTATGGTGGCTGTTGTTGTCTTACTATAATTATATTATTTATGTTATTGCTCATGTTATTATTGTTGGTTATTGTGGCTGTTGATAAATGATGTAATATATTAGTTTAATTTTACTTAGATACTTTTATTATACCTGTTCACAAGTGTTGACAAGTGATGTAATATTTATAAAACTCATGTCTGTAATATTTTTAAACTCATGTAATATGTAATATGTTAAAAGTTTATTTCAGTTCGATATTGAAACAATATCTTCTACAATTGTCAAAACAATATCTAGCATTCATAGGTTTTACAATTTATAATATATTTTATTGATTTTTATAGATTAGTTAAAAAATATTATAAACTAAAACTTAATAAACTAAAATAAACTATAAAAATAAAATAATATAAAGTTATACCAATTATACAACAAAATTATACAATAATAAAATTTTACTTTATATTTAATAAAGTTATAAATAATATATTGATGAAAACATTATTTAAAAACACTCTTTACCAAACATATTTCATGTTTTTGTTTCAATGATTTTGGTAACACTTTCACTCTGCCAAACATGTTTTGTTCTTATATTTTTTGAAACGAATCCCAAACATGTTCTACCATATTTCTGTTCCATATTTTTCACTGCAAAATTTCATTGCCAAATATGTTTTGTTCTCGTCTTAAAACATTCCAGTACAAAACACTTATTTTGTTCTAGGTTAAAACAAAACGCCCGAAACACAAAGCATACCAAACGGTCCCTAACAATGGAATAAACCTACTATTATCAGAACAAAGAAGACCAACAGCGTAGCCTGAATCCCGAGGCCCTGTAGCCCAGAAAGAATAAAGCCCAATCCTTTCTAACACACGCACCAACCCAAACAAAATTTTGAGAGGCAGCCCAAAAAGCAAAAGAAAGAAAGGGCTCCATACGGCGTCGTTCAGTGGTTTAGTGAAAGCGAGCGAGAGAGAGAATAGGGCAGAGAAGCGATCAGACTGCAAAAACCAAACCAATCGATGGCGGCAAAAGAAGCGAACAACCAGAGAGTTCAAAAGTTGAAGAAAGAAGAATAAGAAGAAGAAGGAAAAACAAAGGAAATGAATTGTTCGAAAAAGGTATTCTTCTTCAATATTCTGTGGAAGGTTGACGTTTCACTCTCGTTTTTCTGTATCTGTATGTGTATGTATGTCCATCTGATTGTATATATATATATATATATGTAATGTAATGTCACTTCTAAATTAGTATGACAAAGGCGGATCTAGGGTTGGGTTTGAGCCCACCCAAAAAAAAAGCCCACGGCCGGCCCTGACCCAATCATTTCAGCCTCCCCAATCGCCTCCATCTCTATTCTCGTTCTCAACTCTGAACTTGCCCTCTCTCTCTCTCTCTCTCTCTCTCTCCAACTGCAAACTACAAAATCTACAAGAATCAGAAGTTCAAAACCCATATATTTCAGTTTATCTATCTGTCTGCAAGAATCAAAAGTTCAAAACCTATTACCTATATCAAAACCCATATCGGCATATCATTTCAGATTGTTCAAAACCCATATCTTTCAGTTTCAATCGCCCGCTGTTCCAGTTCGGGTTCGCCGTTCGCAAGCTTCAGCCGCTGGCCCGCTGTCTCTCAACTCTCAAGCTTGCCCCCCTCTCTCTCTGCAGCTGCTAACTTGTATGTATGGGTTTTGTTTTAATTTTTTTTTCTAAATCAACTAATCAAGCTCTGTAATTCTTGTTTTGCATACTAAATCCTATTCGGTGAAATTTTTTATGATCTTTTTTATTTAATTTTTTTTTTTACAATGTAAAGTAACAAAATTTGCATTGCATTTTGAGGTAATCATTGCATTGCATTTTGGGGTAATCAGCGTAATCTACATTTTATTTCAGCAAAGCAAATATATATATTTTTATTTCTATAACTTCTATTTGTGCATTTGTGTATATATATATTTTCTTGTTGTCAATTATGTCTACAAGAAAATTTGAATCTGGGCATGAAAAAAAAAAGAAAAAAGAATCTGAATTGGATTAGAAATCTGCAGAGATTGAATCTGAAACAATTTTTATCAACATGCCAAGCTTTTTGAAGATGGAAATCTTTTCAGAACTAAAAAAAAAAATCATAACAAGAACTTTGACAGGCAAAAGTACTTAATATAGGGTAAAGCTCTAAAGTTACTTCTTGAAAATTAAACTACTTACAAAAGCATGCTTTTGAGTGAATTCCACAGTGTTGGAAGGGGCTTGCCATGAACTACCTCACACGCTGCTTCCACCTGTAGATTCTCAAATAGGATTAGTAAATTGGTCAAAAGAAGAGATACGGTACTGAGTGGAGAATTGTTCAAAAATAAATTGGTAATTTTTTTTTATAAAATTACCCAAATAGTATTTTCTATGCCTTAATCAGTCATTTGTCTAAAGAAACATTGTTAATTAACTAAAATTGAATTGAACAACAGTTGATTTTGGTTGATATATTTTGATTTAGCCCACCCCATTGAGAAATCTTGGTTCCGCTCTTGTTAGTATCTCTCACTATTGCGTTCTAGCTTGACCGTTTTAATTTCAATTGTGTTGCTTTGGTTGTTCTTCTATGTTCCAGATTGCGCTTTAAATGGAAATGCCTGAAACAACTTCATAATCAAGAAATACAAATGAGTTATGTGGGGTTGTAGTATATATGGGTTTTGATATTTGAATCATTACTTATAAAGAATGTCTGCGGAAACGAGCTCAAAGTTTAAGAAACTTCAAAAGAAAGTGAGACTTGCAATTGGAAAATCAAAGAAACATAAGGATAATGATGAAACCCTAGGTTCCAGGAAGAAGGGTTTTCAAGGATATAAAAAGGCTCAAATTACTATGGAAGATGGGGTTGATGTTTCTTATAAGGATGGTAAGTTAATCAAGAGAGAGAACAATGGAAGAAGGAATACGAAATTTAAGGCAAAAGATAAACAAATTCACACTGCTCAAGAAGGGTATGGTACGAAGGTTGATGGCAATAGTGCTTTTAAACAGTTCAATTCTGATCGAAAGAGGAAGAGAATATACGCCGACCGGGGTAATGGCAAGGAAGTAATGTTTAAGAAAAATGTGGAAAAGTCCAACAGAAAAGTGCCTTTATCTAGAGAGGGGTGGAATGAGCCCAAAGATTATCATCTTAAAGAAAAAAGAACTGCAAAATGGAAATCTCGTGATTTTGAACCATCTAACAATAGACATTTGAATGCTCGTGCAAATGAGTTACTTGATAGAAATGGTGGCAAGAAATTTAGGGGCAAGATGAAGGCTACCAATAAAGTGGAATCTGACAGAACGGATGTTGCCAGGAATAGTTTGCTGAAGAAAGATGCCAAAAGCCAATTTGGTCGAAATCTGAACATGCTTAAATATGAATCTCTAGAGAAGTTTGACAAGAAAAAGTTTCATGACAAGAAAAGGTTGGATGATGAATCAGCAGTAACACCAATGAAAACAAAGCGGGTGATTCGGATAGATCCACGTGATATCACAAATAAGCGGTTAGATGATGGCATTATTACTAATGGTAAGAATCTTTTGGGAATTGGTCTGATTTTCTTGTATATGTTGCCTGTTCTCACCATTTAGGGTGTCTATTAATGATCACTATTTTCACCTATTAGCGCAGATTGTTTCTCATATGTGGTCCACACTCGTCTTCTTTGTTATCTTGACTTCTCTACATAGATTCCTCACAACTCTGTTTAACAACTATGTAACATGGAATTCGAAATTTCAAAATAATGAAATAAATAAACTTAATCGTTTGATCTTTGAAAGTTGTTTTCTTGTTATTTTTTCCTAGTGTGATTTAGGAAAATATGCTTTTATGATACCGGGAGCATGTAATTTTAGGATTAGTGTTTTCAGCTAAGAGCAGCTTCCTGACAAACTCGCTTACTGCTTTGATTCTCTTATCCTATACTGTTATTCTGCTACTATTTTAGTTGTTTTGAACGATGAATGGTAAGCAATTATGAATCATTGGTAATCAATCTGACCATTGACAAGAAATTATTAATCAAGCTTCATTTCATCGGACAATAACTTGGGTTGTTAAATTCATCTAAAAGAGACGTATACTAGCTCACACTATTTTTTGGGCTTTGAGATAGAAAGGGATGTTGTTGAACTTGAATGGGGACAGCTAGCACACTATTACAAAACCATCGGTTAGTAGAATACTCCAATTCTTAAATTTACTTTCTTCCAGGTGCATTTGTCAATATATCACCTATTAAGTTTTACCATTTCCTACTGTCAAAATCTGATGAATGTTGCTGTAATTATCGAATACACCTATTATCAGGTACAAATAGATATAGCTTAGTAATCCTCTCACATGTGAATTGGAAGATTTTTTGTTCTTTGGGTTCTATACTCTATTCGGTTCTCAGAATGGATAGCAGAAAGCAACAAAAGATGACAAGTTGCTTCTTCTGTGAAGCATGCTAAAAGTCTTATGCTGTTTCCCCAGTATCTTTCTGAGAACTGGAAGAGTTGGTGTAAGAGGGTGAGGTGTCAAGCTTAACAAAACAAAGCTCTTGGTTCAATGGTTACTTTGTATTTTTATTTTTCATTTCAATTCTTTGTCATATAATGATAATGAAATCAAGCTATAATACCTTCGTAGAAATTATAGATGTTATCGGTTATTAATTGTTCATCTTGCTGTTAGGTTTTACATTGTTTACATAGGGTTACATAAGTTTTGTGGGACATGCTTCTTTCTAATGTATCTTCCCTATGTTCATTTTCTTTTCCCCCTTCTTTTTATTTTTTTGAATGAAGTTGATGGCTTCTATTTCTTGCATGCTTTCCAGAAAATACCAAGGAGAAGAAAGAAGATTTGAAGAAAAATGAAAGTGTTGAAATGTCAATGAATGCTCAGTTCCGTGCAATACAACCTACTCCATCTATCCTTTCCTTCGTGGAAGAAAATGTAATTTGTCTTGAGAAAGGGCTTGATTTGCTTCTTAACTTATATATATTTCCTACATTTTCTTTTCTTGTTATCTGATTCTTTGCAATTCCAATAACAGTTACTGGGTCGTAGACGGTCGAATGAATTACGGAGGGCAGGCTACAACATTGAGCTTTCTGCTCCTTTAGATAATGTCCCCTTCTCTACAAGCTCAGAAAGAAAACGGATTGAGGATGCGGTATGTCAATAGATTGTGCATGTTGGGACAGTATGCTTATGCTTTGTTCTTGCTGAATACTTCTATCTCTATATTGGATAGTAGCAGACACTTTGACAAGAATCATTGCATCCTATTAATTTGCTGAAACTTTTGAAATAACTGCCATTCTATATTCAACTCTTATTGTTAAGTAGGTCTTCTTTGCTGATAATTTATCTTCTGGTTGTTCTTTTTGTACGTTAACTACACAACATATATATATATATATATATTTCAATAATACTATTCTGAGTAAAACAACTAATGCTGTGTTAAAAAAAATATTTTTTAAATTTTTTCTTCATTTCATGCTGCTATATTTTTCTCAATTCATGTGATACTTCCATTGCCTAGGCAATGGTCAAAGATAAGCAAAACATGACCACCAATTGGTGAACGAGTTAAATGAGAGGGATAATTTTCCAATTATGTTGTTCTTGGTGCTAGAATTGTATCTTCAAAATAATCAGTCTGAAAAGTGTTTCAATCAAGATCATGCGAAAATATGATATTTACTCTTTATTTAGGTGTGCAAGTGGGTTTTAATGATGCATGCACAACCACAAATTGAGTTCATCTTGGCCCTCGGCAATATGTTATTATTTTCACTTTTCTCAATGGGTCTAGTGAGATTTTGTTTAGTTGTATCTTTAATTGGTGAAATTCTAGAGGAAAGATGATTTAGATTGAACATGTGATTTTGAGTATGGTTTGACGGTCAGTCGTCATTAATGTGTTGTTGAGATGAAAATTTCTGTTTTACAAACTTAATCAAAAGGAAATTTCTTGCTCCTACTAAGATAGCAATTGACACCTATGTTACATGGACTCTTCAAAAGTAGTGAAGTACCGGTGTGAGACACATATTGCTCGGCCATGGGTATGGGACACGTGTCCGACACTTTTGGGTGGACATGTAGTTAAAAATCATATCCAATCATTCAATTATATTATATTATTAATTTAAAAGGAGTTAAATGCCTATATTGAACACTATATTAGATAAAAACATTACTTTACTCTAGAAAATAAAATAAAATAATTAAATAAAATGAATATTTAGTCTATGGTCGATTTTATAACAAATAAATAGGAATTTCTAGTTGTACCTCGTAAAAAAAGACTTCTTTCTTTTGTGGAATTAACCATTTTCTTTCTTTTCGAAAGAAATTATGTTTCTGTTCAAGTAAGCAAATAGCAAATATGTCATGGTTACAGGAGTCTATCCATCGCATATAGGCTTTAAAGACATCGTGGCATAACCATATAGGTGTAGTTGGGACCTAAAAGATCAAATGGAACGATACATAGACAAATAAATCCTCTATGAATTCCAAAGTACTCCTTTAATTTTAATTAAGGGGAATCATTATTCATGTGTCCTCCTGTTTAGATATCTGACACATCAGACACGTGGATATATACCCATGTCCAACACACATATCCAGGTAACATAGATTGGCACTACAGGATTTAAAAAGCTAGTTGCAATTAACAAAGTTCTGTCAACATCCTCTGCAATTAGAAACACCTCCTATTTTTCCCATGTGATGTAATGTTCATTACTATCCTGAGCATGGAAGTAACATTTTTACTGCCAACTGCGTTTTCATCTGCTGTTTATTTTGTGATTTGCTAACTTATCTTTAGCAGATTTTTAGGAATAAATTATCATTTTTTGCTGCTGCAAAAATTTCATCATCATTTCCACCTCCTGATATTCCAGAGATTGCATTTGCAGGTAGAGATTTCCAATTTTACCCTTGTATATCTCTAATTTTGTTAATCTCTTGCATTTGCTCGATCACTTCTTTAAATACTTAAATTATTGAATAACTTCCCTGACTCCAATAACCTGTGGTGTGAAGTCATGTTTTGGCTAGAATATACTAGGAATCTTTTTCAGAGGCTAAAATGTCTAGTAAAGACAATTTTAAAAAGGGAAAACATATGATAGAAGTGTAGAATTAAAATAAGCCTCACACTTGTCAGGCTAATAGAAAAGCATTTATTTTATATACTTGATAGTTCATTCATTAATGGAACTCCTCTGAAAGTGTCTGATGGTTCCTGTATTTTCCTCGTGACATCCTTTATTGTTTCCTTTGCTTGCTTAGTGCCGCATTTTGTTGGCTTGATCTATCTAAGTTGAAATTGATTCCCTTATTAGGAAGGTCAAATGTTGGGAAGTCATCTTTAATAAATGCACTAACCAGACAATGGGGTGTTGTACGGACTTCGGACAAGCCTGGCCTTACTCAGGTGCTATTGTTTTCCCACGAACTGAAGCTTTAGTTGTTTCAGTGTATGCGTGATGATCACTGACAGTTCCTTTGCAGACTATTAATTTTTTCAAGCTTGGACCAAAGCTCTGCTTAGTTGATTTGCCGGGATATGGCTTTGCTTATGCAAAAGAAGAAGTTAAGGAAGCTTGGGAGGAGCTTGTGAGTATGCAATGGACCTTTGATTTTCTTTTTAGTTGCCGTTATCTACATGTACACCATGGACTGCTTACATGTCCATTTATATTTTATTATTTATATTTTTTACTTATCAAAAAAATATATATATATTTTATTATTTTTGTTTTGGTTACAAGTTTATACCATCGTCTGGTCATTCTGCATCATTGTACAGGTAGGTAAAGTAACTGTTGACCATTGAAGTAGAAGGAAAGATTTTGATGTATTATAATTTTGTCGAGTTTGTCTTGGAATATCTCCATGTGATGGAAGTTCCATTCGATATATTCAATGGGGATATCAATTAATTTATTATTCTTTATTCTGTATGCAATTCAAGACAGTGAAAGAAGTGTTATATTTAAGAAGTGGTCGACAAATATAGTGGTCTTGATGGCAGATGAATTTGACTAATCTTCAATATTCTCCTACTGTTATTATTCCTTTAATTTCTTTATGCATTCAGTTGTATGGATTGGTTATGTTTCAATTGCTTATGTTGGTCATTTAGTAACACAAGTCAATTCAAAATGTCTCATTGTTGATTCCAGAACTTTCTGTTTATATAGGTCAAGGAGTATGTCTCCACACGAGTTGGTCTAAAGCAAGTATGCCTTATTGTAGACACAAAATGGGGCATGAAGCCAAGGGATTATGAGCTGGTTGGTCTGATGGAAAGGTACAAATATACCTGCTTGTAGGTTCCATTTAGAACGCACTTAACTATTGGGATGTAGATTGACGTCACATGGACTATGCGTTCGCATACATTACCACACATGAATGATGGACACCATTATTTCGGGCTTTTTACCACCTTAGAAATGAAATCATTTTACTTTTTCAGTGCAACATTTAAAGTCATCTATGTTGGACACTCACAATTTTGCATTGTTTGCCATGTCAGTATGTTTGCTAAATATGTGATTTGGATGCCATTTGGTGCATTGGCAAGTGTTCATGTTGAGGTTGCTGTACCATAGTCTGGACTAACAACTTAGCCAAAGTTCTTGTAACATTAGGAGCTGCAAGTTCAAAATTTTAGAGAGATTATACAATATCACCAAATATTGCCTAGGAAGCATAGAGACGTCTCCTGAGGTGCCGTGGCGGTATCGGACGCTCGGATACGCGTCGGACACGGCCCTAACACGTGTCGGATACGGCTAGAAGTGTCCTGAAATTTGAATATATTATTTTCTGGTCGGACATGACAAGACATGTTTTGGACATTTTTAGGACACGGCGGGGTGGTTTGTAATTTAGAAGAATGGGATTCATACAACTTAAAATATATTATGGGTTAATTAAAAAAATAATATAAAATTTACGAAAATAAAAATAACAAATATCTATTTCTAAATTACAAATTAGTGATTTCATTCATGATTTTATGGATAAAAGACCAAAAAATATTATTTATATATATAATGTATTGTTATATTATTATTTTTTGACATATCCATGTCATATTTTTTTGATATTTTCCATGTCCTTATCGTGTCGTACCCGTGTTTTTATCTGTGCTTCCTAGAATATTGCAATGAAATGCAATGTCAAGGTGCTTCAGTGATAGTGTTTCCTTATTTCCATATCAGCTGTCTTTGCGGTTGTGGTTTGCTTCTTCTTCTTCTTCATTATTTTTTTTTCTTTTCCCCACAGATCTCAAACAAAATACCAGATTTTACTAACCAAGACAGATTTGGTATCACCGATTGATGTGGCACGTCGTGCAATGCAAATTGAAGAGGTAACTTTTGTGCAAATATATATGAGATAATAACATTCTCTCTTGTAAAACTAAGCTGGTTTATCTTGTTTTGCAGAGCCTCAAGGCAAAGAAGTCTGCCATTCCACCAGTTGTATGAAAGAAATTCTTGATTAACTGATTTTATTTGATATTTTAGGTCAACTATTTAGGAAGCAATCTGAATAAATGGCTTTGTCTTTTTACTCCAGATGATGGTAAGCTCAAAATCTGGAGCTGGTGTCCGAAGCTTAAGAACTGTGCTTGCTAAGATTGCTCGGTTTGCAAAAGTCTAGAAGGTACTTGGGTGACTTTTTCTTGGAAGATGTTTCATGTTAAATATACCAATCATGTCAGTTTTACATATTAAAATCTCAGAGTGGACCTAAACCAGTCGATGAAATTGATGATTTTTCCCTTTTAAACTGAAACTCCAAAGCTTGACCCGAACTTACAATTCATTGGGTACAAATTTGGGTTCCGCCTCTATGCATTTGCCCCCTACTTTTTTATTTCTTTTTATTTTTATAAAAAAATATATATGTAAATCTAATATAAAAAAGGTTTACTGTTGTAGATGTTGATTAGTTTCAAGAAGTTGCCATGTTGGGATGGTCAGGATCTCCATCTTGATTTATCTTCCCTCTCAATCAACTAGTGGCTGGATGTTCCTACTGGTTATCACTGATGATGTTCTTGGTTTTGGTCCGTTACTTTGCTAAGCTGAAAGCCTTAAATCCTTGAAATCATCATGGTTTGGTGTGGTATGCATAATGCAGGTTGAACAGTTACTGCCTTGCAAACTTGCCTGCTCATTTCATCTAGCCGGATGACATTCCAAAGGGTCGAACGTGATATGGTACTTCGAAACAATCACCAAATACATCTCTAACATATATTCTACTTGAAAATGTCACAAAGAAATTCTTTGTTCCTCACATTTTTCAGTAAGCCAGCGTTTTACAGATCAAAATTTTAATTAGGAATGCTGGAAATTTGCATTATCAGGGGCAAATGATTTTTTGGAAGGTTTTGAAATTGATAAGTTGGGGGTAATTGTTTGCTGCAATTGTAAAACTTAGGGCTATTTAGTGTGAGGATAAATTTGTGTCTTAAGCACACATGATTCTATTGTGATTTAGATGTTACGAATTTGAATTAAGGAATAGTCTCTCCACATGTGGTAGCAAGATTGCAACATTTAAATTTTTTTCAGGAATTCTTGTACTAACAACATTTTATGTTAGTGATAGGAAATCTGTAGTGAGATTCCTAATGCTTTTTGGGCCAGAAAGAAGCATATTGTTTCTTTACCCTATGTAAAGGGGTTTACCGATAGCATGATTCCTTCTAAAGCTAGTCCCAGCCACATGAAAGCTGACTACTTGGAATTATGTAAGACTGAAATCAGCTCTTTAATGGCTAAGAAGCTTGTCACTACTAGCTACTCCCCCTGGAGTTGCAGAGCTTTTTATGTCAATAAAAATGCTGAAAAGGAACGAGGAATTCCTCGATTGGTTATTGATTATCGACCACTTAATCTTACTTTAAGTTGGATCCGATACCCAATTCCCAACATCAAAGATCTTCTAGATAGGTTACAATCTGCTGTGATCTTTTCTAAATTTGATCTTAAATCTGGATATTACCAGGTACAAATTGCAGAAGAAGACAGGTACAAGACAGCTTTTTGCGTACCTTTCGGACAGTATGAATGGACAGTAATGCCATTTGGGTTAAAAAATGCTCCTTCAGAATTTCAACATATTTTGAATGACATATTTAATCCTTTCACTGAATTTTCTATTGTTTATATTGATGATATTCTTATATACTCAACATCAATAGATCAGCATTATAAACACTTGAAAATTTTCAAAGATGTAATTTACCGAAGTGGTTTAGTTGTTTCTGCTCCTAAACTAAAACTGTTTTTAACAAAGGTCAGATTTCTTGGTCATGAAATTTGTGATGGGAAAATTAGACCTATTGATCGCAGTATTGAGTTTGCTTCTAAATTTCCAGATCCATCGTAGTCTGCTTAGACTTCAATTGACGAATTTCTTCTTTTAAAAGATTAATCTCCATTTTAAGATCAGGGAGATTAGCAGGACGAGAATTTTGTCCTTGGTGTTCTAATCTGCGTAGAACTTCTTTCATACTGTAATGATTTTCTGCTCTCAGAAAATCTGGATTATCCGTATCCTCATTAGATCTTGCCAGAGCAGAACCTATTTCAAAGACTTTCATCTTGATTTGAGGATCCTGGATATGATCTATAAGATCCAATAAGGATTGTTGAGTTGAAGTTAAAACATTTAAGCTTAACCCATTCATTTCAACAATTGCCTTATAATAATCATCATGCGCAGGATTACAGGAACATCTAGGGTTTTCAATCTCTGCTTCAGAGGAAGAAGAAGATTGTAATTCCATGACAACATCTCCGTAATCACTTGATGATTCTGGTTCAGAAGAACTAGTATTAAGTAACAATTTACTTAATTGAAGTCTCAGTTCCTCCTCTATGTGAAGACTACTGAGCTTTTCCTTAGTTCTACACTTGTTTGCATAGTGGCCAATGCGTCCACATTTGAAACATTTAGCCTCAGCTTTGGGCTTTCCTTTACCCTTTGCTTTAGGAGTATATCTCCTTTTAGGCTTAGTATACTGTCGAGAATTATCCTTTTCCTTTGAATAATTCTTTCTTTTGGAATACTTCCTTTTATAAGGTTTGTCAACCTTATTTCTTTTCCTAGGTTTAGGATAAGATAAGGGAGTCTGATAGGCAAATTGATCACAAAATTCACCTACTTCCTTACGACCAGTTAATCTTTGGGATTTTAACTGGGATTGTAACTTCAGATCATTACAGAGAGCTAGACCTTCTTGGATTACAATATTAACTAATCCACCATAGGTATAGTTTCTGTAAGGGATAGAGATACCATTATTCATATCTCTAAGCTTTTTCCTGATTCTTTCAGCAAAAAAGGTTGGTAAACCATCTACAAATTTGACTTTCCAGTGCTCATGATTTGCATCATTGAGTTGAAGAACCTTTGCCAAGAATACATCTTTATACCACCGGAAATGAGTTAAAGATGGACATCTTAGATTCTGTAGAAGTTCACGACTCCTTTCACTATTAGCACCTTCAGGGCCAACAAAATGTTGGATAATAGTGGTAATGAGTGTGTAAACAGCATCAGCAGCAGGGCCTGATTGCTGAGTAGCTTCATCTTTAACAATCTTGGTAGCAGCAAAGATTTCAGCTTTCTGAATGTCTGTGAGAACATTATCCCACCATCCTTTAAGGATTCCTGTAAAACCAGCAACGACAAACTTAGCAATGGTTGGGTCAGTATTGTTGTTGATTTTACAAACTTGGCTATACATCAGGATTTGATGAATAACCTCGTAAATCTGATAATCAGATTTGCCATCTATGTTCCATTCATAAATGGTCTTGCCATGAAAAGATTTCTGTGTATGAAAATAATCTTCTTCATACAAGATATCTTGAGGTGTGGGTCTGGGATAATAATACCGACTCGGAGCAGGGGCTGTATTCGAGTGGATATTCTTATCATAGACAATTCTGTTGAACTCAGGTAACTGAGTAAGATCCTGTAGGACTTTCTCAATATGAGGCATCACATTCTCAGAATCAGAACCAATTTCAGATTCATCATGGGATAAAGTCTGAATTTTGAGTCCTTGAATTTTTTGAGTAAGAAGAGTAAGAAATTCTTCATTCTTCTTAGGATGTGTCAGATTGAAGCCTTGGACTTCAATTGCAGGTTTCACCAATGCTTTGGATAAGGAAGCTTCTGGAGGAGAAGTTTTTACAGAAATACACTTAGTATTAATTGTATTTAATACCGTGTCGATTCCTGTTTCAATTCTCCCAAGCTGGGATCCTATCGTTTGTAAGCAAACATTGGTATAATTGTTCTGCTTGTAAACGTGAGTAATGTCCTTTCTAGTCGCAGTACTAGTTGGATCAATTACTTTCGGTTGGCTATAAGCCTTGGTTTCCACTTTAGAACCACTGTTCGGGGCAATTCGTTTCAGAATTAAATGGTCAGGGGGAGGATGGACAGAGTGGAAAACCTTATCGTCAGATGTAGTCCATGGTTTCAGGAAATCATCCAATATGTTGATATTAACAAGAGAATGATTGGTCATATAGAACCAAGAAACAAAAGGTATAACCATTTTGCGTTCTTGTAGAAAGTCATAAAATTGGGTTTTGAAAAGTTGTAATTGATTTTGGTCAAAACTTTTGAAATACCAACTTCTGAATTCTTTATATTGATCCTGTTGAAATTCAACATTAATGGCAATTCGATCAGGGATAAAATCCATTAAAACTAATATTCATGAGGATCATTGATGTCTGTTGGATCTTCAAATTGATCCTTAACAGATTCGTTTCCGATTCCCATTTCAGATGGAGTGGGGCTGAATTCAATTCCAAATTGACGACGAGACATACCTATTGGTGCTTTCTCGTAAACTCCTCTTGGAATTTGATTCGGAGATTGTTGTATTCCTTTCAGCTTGAGCTTGGAATCAACTGCTGCAGGGAGTCCTTCTTTACGATAATCTGACGAGATCGAATGTCGAGAAGGAGGACAAGATACATGATAAGGAGGTTGACTTCCTTTAGATGATGCAGATCGGGATAGATCTATGGATTTTCTGAAATTCAGAAAAACATCACCATCTTGGTCCTGAATAACACAGTCTAAGCTATGATTAGCAATTGGCTGTGCTGGAACGGCATTAGAAATCGTCCAGTGTTCAGGAAATGTTATCTCACTCCAAGGAATCATCCTTTTAGTGGCAACATTTGAGGTGTACATGTTAGTATCCCATAACGCTGTTACTCCTTTAGAGTCTTTGCGTATGGCCTTGGGACACATAGTATCAAGTACTTTGTAATGGATGCGATAAATAACACTTATCACTTCCGATCCAGGTAAGTAATCATATCCATAAGTCTGTACCCTAAGACTTACTGCCTCATGGATATTTTTATCTGTTAAAGATAAATTCAGACTAGGATAGACATCAAAATAAACCGGTCCATGACATAGACTGGTTTCTAGTGCACCCATCAAAGAAGGGTAAAATTTCAGACATCGAGCATCCCTTAGGGTTGCTTGAATACAGGCATCCATACCTAACAAGGTTAAATGTTTAAAAGCAATTTGAATTAAACCTATATGGATGTACTTATATTTATGCATGTGCCTCTGAAGGTCACGGGAAGACAATAATTTAATTATTGTATCCGTAGTGCTTAATTGCATGGTCTGTTCCATGGTCTTAATAGTCCATAGATCAGCTAAATTAAGCATTCCGATTTTGTAAATGCTTTTTGCACTTACTGGAGGGATAGTCCACTTGTTCAATTGATTTTGAACATTGGTCCATTCCACTACTTCAGTATTTTTTACCAGTTCTGAATCCTGGTTGTCCTGTAGTCCTGAGGAGGAGGACGAAGAGGGTTGTAACATGGCTGTTAATTATTGTTAATACTTGTAGGTCTGCATAATATAAATATTATAATATTATGTAGTGAACAGTAAGTTACTATTCTGTCGTCGTTCTGCTTAAAAGAGATTCTATTACTCGTCTGTCAACGATTTACTAGAAACAATACCCTGTGCAGCAATTCAATGCAAAAACGGGTTAAACATTCCAACGCGACTTTTGGACGACCCATAATTGAATCTGGGATAAACATAAGTTAGACAGAATAATATTCATATTGTTCATTACATAATGACTATAATAATCATGCTACCAGAACCTAAAAAGTATTAACAATAAGAATTTAAGCCAGCATGGCTCTGATACCAATTTTAGATGATCGATATATGTAAACAGATAATACTACAGATAATACTTAACTAATAACAGATAATACTTAACTTTAAACAGAGACTTACAGAAAACTTGCTTTATTCAACTTCAAACTTGTACAGAGAAATATTACAAAGGAGAGAAAAGAAAATTGAAAGATACATTGAAGGAGAACATTGCCTTCTATTTATACATAAAATGGACTTGAAATTAATAATTTGAAGTCCGCATAGTGCATGGGATCGTGTGCTGGAATAATGCAGTCGGTCGGCCCACCACTAGGTGCTGTCTCCTTATCTGATGGAAAGTAGACATCTGATAAAGGAAATACTGTTGAATCAAAGACTTTGGGGAAAAGTTCTTTGGCTTCTTCTGTCGGCAGGATAAGAGGAATCTTTACTTTTTGGGTGGATTCATCTTGTCCTTCAAATGTCCTGTGAGCGAATCCCAATAATCTGCTATTGAAATCTCATCTTCGGAATTAAGATCTTCATTGGGATCCTGAGCATAACCTGCAAGACAAGAAAACTGATTTCCATCTTGACTGTTCTGACTAGAGACTGATACCATGGATGCATCATCTCGTACTGTAGGGGTAGAGGATTCAAAAGATTTAACAAATTTATTTCTCATAAAATCCATGCATTTAACCATTAAATCTGCTTCGGTAATTAATGGTTGTTGTTTTCTGATCATATCTTTAACAAGTTCAAATGGGTTAAAGATTTCAGGTTCTGGAATAGATAACTTTGGAATCTTATCCATATATTCCATTGTTTTCTTTCTGATCTGATGGAGGAGGGCTTGGATAGGCTCTTGAGTCATGCCTGACCACCATCTGTAATAAAAGATCCTCTGGAGGACTGGTAACTTGTCAGTGGTATAACCACATTGGAAATCCCATTTCCAAATCCAAGGGATTCCAAATTCAGTAAAGAACAATAGGGTGGATTTCCCTACAGGAATATTATCCTGTCCTCGTAATTGAGGATGAAATTGTTGCCATGGCAAATATAATTTGCTGATTGATTCAGGCAACATATCCAGATCAGGGCCAAATATAGCCCACCAGGGTATAACCCAGTTGGGGAAATCAGCCTTAACTGATTGAGGACATATCTTGAAGAACCAAGAATGCCTATGCTTCGGGTTTTGATAAAAGAACGAATATGTCCATGCTGAGATATAATCCCAATAATTGTAACTGTGACCATAGGATATTTTCCTGGGCAAATTGGGATTTAATCCCCAGTCACTAGGCCGTATAAGCCTCTTAAAGATAGCTTTACTATAAGTAAGAGGACTATCTTTGGAATTCGGAAATTGCTTCGTGTGGTTCATCTCCACAGAGGAAGTTTCAGTAAGAATGGCTTCATAGATATATCTATGGCGACCATCCGGTGCAGCATATTGTTGAGTTTGGAAATATCTGGATTTTACTTCCCAAGGATCTGGCATCCATTGCTCATCTTGAGAATCCAGTACCAATACTGTTTGAATATACCTCTGATTAGGTATCCATGGAGTTTCTTGTTCAAGAACCTCTTTCATGGTTGGTTTCTGTTGTTGTTGCTGAGAACTATTGCTTCCTTTAGAAGGAGTTTTGAGCAGATCAGCAACATGCTCCAGATATGGAAACTGATCATCAGTGAGTGGTATAACCACTTTGGCCTTAGCCTTGTTTTTGCCACGAGCCTTTGGAGTATTACCCCGGCCCTGCCCATGGGGGGGCTGATTCATGAGCCCTGCAAAAATTCGCGAGTTAGAAAATCAGGTAAAGAATTAGAACTGCCTTTAATATATTCAATAGAAAAATCAAAAGCAGATAAATCAGCTTGCCAACCAGCAAATATCTGTTTGGAAACTAAATTTTTTACATCTTTTTCCAGTACTTGTTTAGCAGCACTACAATCAATGCGTAACAAGAATTTCTGATTGATTAAATCATCTTGAAATTTGTAAATGCATTTAACCAAAGAAAGAATTTCCTTTTTTATGGTTGAATAATTTAATTGTGCATTTTTCCAAGTTCCTGAAGTGAAGCGAGCCAGCTCCTCTGTTCCTGTATTTGGATTTTTCTGTTTAAGAATACCACCGTATCCAATATTGGAGGCATCTGTTTCCACAATTTTGAACCATGAAGAATTGGCTAGAGCTAAGCAAGGAATTTGTTTGGCCCTTAGTTTAATCTTCTGGACTGCCTTGGTGTGATCCAAAGTCCATGGGGAAGGAGATTTCCTTAACCTGGTGTACAAAATTGCTGTATCCTGTGCAAGATTTTTGTAGTGGCTGCGAATATGATTCAAGCTACCCAGAAATCTTTGAAGTTGAGTTTTATCTTTGATTTCATCTGAAAATTTAAAAGCAAACTCAATACTGCGATCAATTCATTTTTATTTATTTATTTTCCTTCTAGCAGGGAATCTTCAATTCAAGCTGTATGGCTAAGATGTCGTAAACTAAAATGGGGCCAAAGTATAACACACTACCCCACACGAACTTCCCTATCTGAACAAGAGAAGCAAAATTTTGGGGATCAAAAATTCTCTCTTTTATTTATAGTAATTGATGATAGTGGAGCCAAAGTTTCATGAGATGTGACGTGTGACCATGAAGTTTCAACCCATTGCCATTCACTTCTATGGCCTTAGTTTTAATAATTTATATCTTGGCATTATTGATCTAATATAAATTTATGTTACATCTAAATGGCGGTGGATGTAATGGAAGTACTTGGTCTAATATTTTTTATTTTTTTATTTGTTTTTTATAGGTTCAATTTTAAAATTTGTTAATAGCCCTCACAGATATCTCTATGATATGTGTCCAATTAAAAGAAAAAGAAATGGGTCATTATTATTATTATTATTTGGCATGTGTACTCATTACTTTTAAAATTAATATTGCATTATCCCCTAACTTTGAGAGAAGAAAATAATATGAAAAAAATTGGTCATGTCTTAGCTCGTTCACCTAATGGGGCCGTCGTCATTCGTCAACTATTTTATGATTATGCACAGTAACGCATCTTACCTAACATTTGTTGACAAATTCACAAAACTGATTCAACTAATCCCATGACGCTGTTCATCCTTCCCTTCCCCATTAACTAATCCCTCTTTCTCTCTCATCTCATTCACTTCGGATTGTGGAAGCAAGGAATGATTTTCTCTCTCTAAATCTCTAGAGAGAGAGAGAGAATGTGCCCTCTCAGATTGATTCTCATCTTCCTCTCGGCCACTCTCGCCGGCTTCTTCGTACTCAAGAACCTCAAATCTCAACCCCAAATTCCCGACGGAGATCCTCCTCCCTCCGATTCCGTCAATCCTCCCACTGATCAAAACAAATCCTCCTCCAAGGTTCCCGATTTACCTTCTTATCGTTTCTAGGGTTTTCTTTTCTGTCAAATCCTCTAATTCTTGGATTTCCCTCTCCTATTGCAGGTTTGGGCAGCAATGTCGACGGGCTTCTGGACCTGCGTGGACATGGCGAGCGGTCGCTATCTCTGGAGGAATTTGGTTTCGTCTTCATCTTCTTCTTCTTCTTCTTCTTCCAAGCGCTCTAGCTGACACGTGCCTGCGACTCACTTCTTCGTCTTCTTGATTCTGTTTTCTTATTCTCTGGTTTTATTACTGCTTTTATTTTGCTACTTACATTGAAAGTTGTTTGCGGTTCGTTTTTAATGCTGTTGTAATCATGATTTCGGAATCAAAGTACACCATTACTGGCTGTAGAGTTGTATGTTACTTAAAATTTAGCAATATCTGATTTGCAAAAACTTTTGCCTGCCTGTAATGATGCTCTTCTCTTCAATCAATATCAGGATTTGGGTAGCTTTTGGTTTCATTCTGTTTTTCTTCTTGTTGTGGTTGGAACTGTGTTTATGTGATATATTATTTACAATTTTTTTATTTAATGGGTATGGGGGCTTGTGAAGAAAAAGGTTGGAACTTCTTGCAATGTTAATTCTTGAGGATGCTGCTGCAATCTGTAATTGTCAATTTCACCGGAATTCTCTTCTATAATCTCAACTCTTTTGCTTGGTTTGGTTGTCTACTTAACTTGCTAGCCAAAAAACAAATCTTAGGTATTAATTTCTAACCAATTAATCTTTTTCTTTTTTCTTCTTCTTGAATGAAGTATAATGAATATAAAGCTGAAATTTTTTTCTCTGATGAGGAAAATTTAGAAGATGATTTGTTGGTTGAAAACCTCAATTCCATGAAAAATGCAGTGTATCTAGGAGTTTTTTGCCTGTTGAGCTTCAGATGAGTTTCTTTGATGTTATATACTATCTGTGAAGCGAAAATAGATGTGATTTCAGCAATGAATAGCTTGTGTTTCTGGATTTAACTGAAAGTAAATCGTGTAACATACTTTTCTGAATTTAAATGCCAAAGAAATCATATAATGAATATTATCGCGTGAAAGTGTAGATTTATTCATTCTTTTTTGTTGGGCAAGTATGTGCCTTAACAAATGAAGCTGGCCGGATTAGCACTCAGAATACAAATTAACTAAAGGAATGGGTCAACTAACCAAACACAATAGTTATTGAAACTGACTAATAGTAATTAAACTGACAAATAGTAATTAAACGAGGAACAATATAATACTAGTTATAGTTTGTATGCAATTTTGTTCTTTAGAAACCGACTAATAGTAATTAAACGGGAAATAATATGATACTGCTTATAGTTTTTATGCAATCTCAATTTCTTTGAAATACTATAGTATTGTATATCTATTTGTAAATTAGTTCATTTTCTCCCTTTTTCTTCTTACTATATATGTGATCATTCCAAGTGGTCGTCACTGTCGCTGGATGAATTTGGTTTTTTCATCTTAAGTGTACTAGTTGTTTAACTTCTTCTTGATATGATCTGTTTTTCTCATATCAGTCTCTTTTACTCCCAGGTTTTAAGTGTATGATTGATTTCACATTTATCTTGTTATTTGGATAACAAGTTAATAGTCAATTGCCTCTCTTCTACTCAATGATACATTGAAACCGAAAAACCTCTTTGTTGGTATAGTGGCGTATAAAGCATTTCTAAAAATTGAATTGTGCAGTTTTAAGTTTTACATTCTCCTCAATACATGGTTTCTTTGTGGTTTGTGGCTTATCCTGGTTTCATAGCAATATGTGTACACGGTTGTGAACACACCGTTGATTCGTTGAAGGATAGTTGACTTATTATTCTCTCTTATATTATTGTGTTTTTTGTTTTCCTGAAAGAACCAGGTGAAAGAACCAGTTTTGGTTGCATTGCTTTCAGGTTCAACTTATTTTGTTTCCTGAAGTTCCCAAAATCATGTATTTTAATCCTACCCTTGAGCAGCAATGGTGATTATTACTACTACATTCAACTGCCCCCACCATGTAACCTGAAAACAAAAATCAAAGGGGAAACATTGATCTAATCAAAAGGAAGTGTTCTCTCACTTTTTTTAATTTAAACGACAAGAAGGATCATAATTCACAAAAGTAGCTAATAAACATCCCTCCAATGACTTTCCATTGATGTAAGAGTACAAGTTAGGAAAATGCTCGTTTAATCAGTTGACAGATCTTGGATAGAACATCAGCCATGCTCATTTTCATTTTAACTACAGCCAACACGCTTGGTTATCATGGGCGGTTCCCAATTTAAACGGTTTTTTAAAGTAGTTTAAAAACATTGTTACATTGTACAATTAGTTACCTTGACTTTCTTCTCTGATTGCCAGAAAGCCCAAACAACCACATCAATTAATTAGGTCAGAAAAATGCAATTTCTGTCCAGATCTGTGGGTTTAGCATTCAAAGCCTTCAACGTATGTGCAATTGCCACATAGCAGATTCTCTAGACAACGGTAAAGTATAGCAACAGCCATTGAAAATTTGATACAGTAATGAAGACACCCCGTATGTTTGAATTTATTCGTTTAGAATCTGAATTCTTTTACTTTATTTTTATTTATTTATTTTTTCTTTTATTTACTGGGTTGTCCACCAAAATCGAAAGCAGTTATAGATGTTATAACAAAACTTCGGAAGAAAATATCTTAAGAAGATTCCGCAACTCAATTAGTAGTACTTATAGAGTCCACTTCTTCCCCATATTACGAGTGAAAGAAAAAATATAAGGATAATAAATTGATATTTTTGTTCTTTGACTTTTATATTAACCAATTTAAATTTTAAAATGATCTTTATAACCTGATACCCACAATTCCTTTCCTTCTCTTCTCTTTGTTCTCTCTTCTTTCACCCCAACACCAACACAAACGCACATACTGTCACACAGATTCTCAGAGTATGTCACGAGGGCAAATGAAGGTGCATTGTCAACAAATTTCCAGTATGCCAATAGATAGCATTGTCTCGCACATCATAGGGCACACAAAACTGGTGGCCATATGTAAGTAAACTGGTGAAACACAATTTACACGCACACACACACAAGGCAGTGACGAGCAACGGCGACGACGGAGTTCATCATCACCACCCACGCGCCCGACACGCTCCCACGAGTAGATCTAACTCACGCCGAACGTGCCTACGCGCTCATCCTTCAGCCTTTTTTCCGGTGCTGTTAACCCCTCGCAGATCATCACTTCTCTGCCGCTGCCGTTGCTCTCTACCGTCCGCTATAGATCTCTGGAGCCACAACTAGGGTCTTAGACACATCAAGGTGGCCATGGTGGGAGGAGGTGGTAGTGGAGAACGAAAGAAGGGGTGGAGGTTGTGGTGGACAGGAGAACTGATTGGCGTGGAGGTTGCTGTGGAGAGAGAGAGAGAGAAGGGGTGGAGGTTGCGGTGGACAGACTGTGGCTACGGTGGGAGGAGGTGGTAGTGGCCACGGTGATTGTAGGATTGATTGGGTGCTGAGGGAACTTAGGTTATTTAAGTATTTTGATATTTTATAATTAAAATTAATAAAATAGTGAGGTTAAAATGAACTTTTCACATGTTTCAAAGTTATGTTTGGATGGCAAATTTCACGAGGGCGTGTGGTTGTCCAAAAATAGGCAAATTTTCATCCGCATATCTCTTATCCTAATTTTCAGAGGTGTCTCTGTACTTTACCTTAATTTATATGATGACTCTTGGCATCAGCGAGAGCAAAACATGCTCCTATTAATTATCAAAAAATAAAAAAATAAAAAGTTAAGAGGAAGAAACAGCAGCAGCAAATCATGGCGACTGTGTTACATGGGTGCATGTGCAAGAAAACCGATCAGAAGAGCGCGTCAAAAGAAATCTTTCTAGGGTGGCACATACCTGTAGATAATGTCAACAATGAGAGATGAAATAAAAAATGCAGGAATGAAATGAAATCGACTGACAGTTCTAAACATTTCTTTTGGTTAAAACAATTCAATAATTGATTTGCAATTGGAGAATGAAGAGAGTTTTATTCTAAAGAGGGAGAAAGAAATTGATTGCGTACATTCTTAAAAAGCAATCATGACATCCAACTATGTCTTGGACTCACATTCCTAATTGGGTGGAGTGTGTAGCAAGCTAATGCTCAACTGATGTATAATTATCAAGCTAGCACCTCAATTTGAATTGTTTTGTTATAATTGGCCACCATAGACTTCTTAAAAAGTAATCATGACATCCAACTATGTCTTGGACTCACATTCCTAATTGGGTGGAGTGTGTAGCAAGCTAATGCTCAACTGATGTATAATTATCAAGCTAGCACCTCAATTTGAATTGTTTTGTTATAATTAGCCACCCTGTCCATGGGTTGGTCATTCGGACATATTTCCGGGCTAAGCACTTGGCAAAACACCAAATTAAGGATTGAGTCTGACTTTGATACCAACTATAACAGGTAGGTGTTTCTTCACAATCCGTTCCAAAAACATAAACTATTAGGTAAGACTAACACTCAACCCACATATGCCCAATTCACTTCCCATCAAGATCCGAGGTGAGGGTAAGTCTCCTCTTGTAGCAGTTGGTTAGGAAATGCAGATTCTTGGGTTCAATTTGTGTGTCTAACTGGTAACAAGTATTTGACTATATGTGTAGTAAATGCAGATTTCTGAGCTCAATTTGTAGGCTATTAGACCGGTCCAAGTGCCTAGGTACGGTGGATCGCATGCAGTTACCAATTTTATCCAAATGAAAAAGAACAATTAAGGGTGACAAACCCTAATTTATAAAGGATGAGATTGACCTGAGAAGTGTTATAAATATAAATGATAAAGCATGGTCTGCAGTATTAGTCGCAGTTGAGGTGTAACGGACAAAATCATTATAAATTGGCCGAACCGACCGGTATAGGATCTTGAAAGACAATCGCGTATCGACAGATACGGCGAACCATGTGATAAAGTTTCAATAGATAAACCTAGGCATAAAGTTTCGTATTGGATCCTCCCTAGTGAACTGTCAAGTTCCCGTGCTGATACAACAATAGCCATGCTCATTAATTACAGCCAAAAACATGGCCACGCTAGATATCATGGACTGTTCCTAAGGTAAGGTATTTTAGTAGGTTAAAGACATTGCACAACATTTACCCAAAAAATAAAGCAAGGAATGGCTTAATGGGTATGAGCTTGTGAAGGAAAATTTCTGAATGAATAGTTCAGGAGGCAAGCTGCCAAAGGCACAAGAATTGTCCAAGAAACAGGCAGAAAATTTTGGAGAAGAATAATTGTACATATATTGGATATTAATGCACCTTTGCTCCCCTAATAACAATCGTATCAACATCAAGTATACAATCACAAATTGATTTGTTGTTTCCCTCCTACCCATTTCATTCTCTTGCATATTTTCTATCACCCACTTTTTTCACAATTGCAACAAAGTTCAGTAGTACATAAGTACAGGATCAATC